GTAATATAATCGGTAATCTTTGAGAGTTAACAGCGAAAGGGGAGATATGCATTAAACCCTGATGTCAGGAAGACCATCCACACTGCTCCTGGTCATGTCAAAACACACACACACACACACACACACACAATCTGGCTGAGACATCCTTCCCCGGTAGTGTCACAAGACCTGGTCACAGTTATCACAGCCCTTATCAACTGCTCTGCAACTGTCTATCTGTTCCCGTGCCTAGCCTGTGAGCCCCTTGAGGAGAGAGACTATGTTCTTCATCTCTGCAGCCCCAGTTCCCACCTCAGTGCACACCCTGCAATGGTGCACTATCTAATGGTTAAAGACTGAAGAACGCAGGAGAAGAAACACTGCTTATCTTCGGTATGACTGCAAAAGAGAAAAACCAATTTAGTATTTGCATGAAAGGTTTCCATTTACAACTGGTTAACTGTGCCTGGCATTAGACGGTTCCTCTATTGAAAATTCAAAGTTTGAAGGACACAGCACTCTAACCGTTAGCCCTTGCTATTCCTTAAGTCTGGCACAGATTTCTGCCTTGATCAAGAATGAAGGGTTAGCCAGGCACGGTGGCTCACGCCTGTAATCCCAGCATTTTGCGGGCCGAGGCAGGCAGATGATCTGAGGCTGGGAGTTCGAGATCAGCCTGACCAACATGGAGAAACCCCATCTCTACTAAAAATACAAAATTAGTTGGGCATGGTGGTGCATGCCTGTAATTCTTGCTACTTGGGAGGCTGAGGCAGGAGAATCGCCTGAACTCAGGAGGCAGAGGTTGCAGTGAGCTGAGATCGCACCACTGCACTCCAGACTGGGCAACATGAGTGAAACTCTGTCTCAGGAAAAAAAAAAAAAAAAAAGAATGGTTACTATACAAAGCATTCATGGAGGGGGCTACATCTTAGAAACTTACATCCCAAGGCTATCTTACAAGCCCAAATTTAAGTCTCCTCAAACACCCACTTCTTAAACAGAAACCTATTTTCCAGAAACTGCTTATCTTTAAATACAGAAAAAGACCATCTCTTCCCCCCACCACCGGAAATATTCATACCAACACTCCCTGAAATAAGGAGTTTCTAAAAAGGCAAATAAACGAAACCAACACCAACCACGAAAAGGTACACACTAGATGTGTTCAGAATCTGTAGGTGGGGGCTGGGCACGATGGCTCACTCCTATAATCCCATCGCTTTGGAAGGCTTGAGGCGGGAGGACTGCTTAAGGCCAGGAGTTCAAGACCATCCTGAGAGGCATAGCAACACCCCATATCTACAAAAAATAAAAAATTAGCCAGGCATAGTAGTGCATGCCAGCAGTCCCAGCTACTCAAGAGGCTGAGACAAGAGGATTGCTTGACCCTTGAGGGAGGTCAAGGTTGCAGTGAACTATGATCACATCACTATCCTCCAGCCTGGGCAACAGAGCGAGACCCTATCTCAAAAAAAGGAAATTCTGTGTGGAGGATATACATGTGTGACATTCCTTACAGTCTTAAGAAGGCAAGAACCATGAACTATGTTCTTCAGTACATAGCTCCATTGTAGAGCCTCAGAAAGCACCCGGCCAAATCAAGAATGCTTCTATTTAGTATTTGTCAAGCAGGCATTCGAAAGCTCAGCTAAGACCCTGGTTAGATACACTATTTCCTTCAGCTCATAGATAAGACACAGGCTCCTCATAAATGTCAGATGAACGCGGATGCAGAACTAAAATTCCGCCATAACCCACTTGCTATGCGGAGCCAGTTAACCCTCCTCTTGTCTCTTACTTGCCAGGCACTAGCCCCATTCCCAGCCCCATTCCCAGAGGTTGTCTCTGCTGATCCTCACTTCCACCTTGCAGGGAAATTTTATCTCTCCCATCGAATAGCGTTCTTAGAGTTCAGACAAGGAATGCTAAGGGCTTTTTTCCATCATTAACACCTGGTTTGCCTCAGGGAAAGGCAACCCCTTCTCTCCAAAATGTCCCAATAATTGAGCACATGTTTCCGGACCAAATCAAGAACCTTCGCCACAGGGCTTCTCAGCAAAATGGAGTGAGACCGACATGGAATCCCATCTGCACAGTTCCCTACCCAGTAGGCCCTGGCACACACTCACATCCAAGTTCTCAAACACCCTGTTCCCCACCCGAAGTCAGCCCCAGGCAAAGACCCTTCAGGAGGTGAAGCCACTGCCAGTTCAGGAACGGATCACAGTCAGAATCCCTAGGCCACTTCTCAGGACTCGGTAAAAAAATAACCACAACTTCCCCTGCACTTAGTTCCTCCCCAAAGAGCTGTTGAACCTCATCTGGAAACAGCTGGGAGGCAGCAGCTAACAGGAAATCAAACAACAACAACAAAAAAAGCAGAGTGTACCGCGGAGAGTTAGGCAGCTAGAACGAAGAGGCCAGGGGACAGACAGGAAGTTGAAGTTGGAAAGAACCTAGGCCAGAAACAGTCACACAGAAAAGGAGACCCAGCTGGCTTTCCTCAGCTCGGGCAGGAGGGGAGGACCCAGACAGCCAGCAGGGAAGGCACGAACCCCACGAGGATGGAAACCAGACTGGCTCTGAGGTTACATCTTCTTTCTGCCCTGCCCCCAATCCCTTTTTTTCCTTTCTTTCTTTTTCTTTTTTAGAGATGGGGTCTTGCTACATTGTTCAGACTGATCTTGAATTCCTGGGCTCAAGCAATCCTCTACCTCAGCCTCCCAAAGTGCTAGGATTACAGGCGTGAGCCACCACGCCCCTCATTGCCTCCAGTCTCAACCTTCCCTCCCTGAAAGCCAGCTAACAGTCCTCACTACGAGAGCTGGGGTCAGAAACTCACCTTCCTCTAGCTTCCTTCTGTCCCACAGGCTACAGCCCAAACAACTGGTTTTGAGTCATTCATCTGTCATCCATACCAAAGTTCCACACTGCCAACTAAACTCAGGGCTGGACAAACCAGCCTCACACAGACAGACAAAGGGCATCTTCATGAGAAATGACTGGACAGATCCCATCCGAGGGCCTGTAGTGGTAGACCTTAGGTGGCCAACCTTAGGCAGCAGGAGACCTTAGGCACAGGGAAAAGGAGCGAAAGTGAGAGAGCCAAGAGAGCAAGGTAAGCTTCTTGCACCAAACTGATGGTGCATTTTGCAATCAAGAAAGTTAACTGAGCAATGGCCAGCTGCCAAAATATTTTTGAGAGAAATGAAAAAAAATGCCATTACTAAAATTCTTTGGTGTTGTTTAATAAGGCTTTAGGTCATCCAAACAGAGTGCAAAGGGGAGACTGATTTAGTTTTCATTTAGCAGAGCTTACTTAGGTGAGACTTTCCCAGCCCGTGCCCCCGTGACTCAATCATCCATTCTCTCTCTGTATATGTAGAAGTTTATATTAAAATGAGAGGATTAAGTTTTCTTAATAAGATACATTCCAGTCTTTTCACCTCGAGCTTTGTTTGAAAAGGCTCTCTCGAGGCATAGCATACGCTGCGATCCAGCTGGGTTTGATTCCAATGGAAGTGCTCAAAATCTGAGACTGAAGGGTGCACAGGGCTGCAGCCTCAACACCATTTGTTTTTTAAAAAGCAGAACATCTTTACAGGCTGAGTGCCAGCTCAAACTGGCAAGACCAGAGAATCAGCAGAGACTGACCAATGTGCTGGGTAAGGGGGATGGGAGGAGGAGCTACGGGAACAGATCATCAGGGAAACCTTCAAGAGAGGAAATAGGGGTGTTTCAGGAACATAACAAAGAACAAGTTGACTAATCGTTTATTCCAGGGACAGCGGCGGTGAGGGGGTGCCATCCAGGGCTAAGTATTTAATATTTCAACTTCAGGTAAAAGCATAATGTTTAAACCTGGATATGCTTGGAGCTCACAGCTCTCTTAAAAAGGATGGGGGGTTGGGGGACGGCAAGATATTCCTGCTGTTTTATTACGCTGTTCATGGAGTCTCCTAGGAAACTTCTCCCCAGATGCCTGCAGAGCAGACCTAAGACAGCGCCAGCTAGTCCAGTTCCTAATGTAATAAGCTCAACTCAGCAGAGATCCTATCAAGAGCTTTATGCAGGGCCGAGCTGCTCAAGGCCGCTGTTGCCGGTCCAAAGAAGTTCTGTTGCGCAGGCAGAAAAGTTACCTGCAGCAAATACCTAATATTTATGCTGGGAGGGAGAGTGGAAAAGTGCTTTAATCTTTGAGGGCCAGACATTTTCTGTGACTTGGAAAAGAGGAATCCCTGCCCAGAGCACCCGAATCCACATGTCAGAATGGTGTCTGGGATGTCTGCCCTCAACAATGACATCTCCCTCATCTAATGTTTCGCGACGGCCAGAAAACCCTCCAACTTGCCAGGACAGACTGCACCTCCAACAGCTGTGGCACCAAAAGTCTTCTTAGGAGGCACCCAAGGCCTTCCCGAGATGGGGGAGGGCCTCCCGATGAGGTTGTAATGGGCCAGCCTCCAGGTGCAGGGACACCTAACTCTGGCCAAGCACTGGAATAAGCAATTTACCTAAGTCACTCCAGTACCACAACAGCCCCTTGGAGGCAGACACTACAGTCATTCCCCTTTTATGAAGGAGGAAACAGGCTCCGAGGTGTTACACAACCATTAAACAGCAGAGCCAGCCTCCCGTCACCCGGAACAGGTGGTCCTGACCGCTGCTGGATATGGGGAAAACACACAAAGCGTTTGGAGGAAGGAGTCCATAGAGTCGGGTAACACAAGATGCAGCCAGTGTTTATACCTCTTTCTCGTCCAAGATCGGTGGCCCCAGGACACTGGAGGGGAGGGCCTGGATAGGGAACGTGAACCCGAAAGGACCCCGGCACTGCTGGCAGGGGAAGAGGCCAGGACCCCGGCCTCTCTGGCAACGCGGGGAACCCCAGATCCATAAACCCTCTCGAAGGGGGAAGACCCAAAGGGAATGCATGAAGCCACGGGGTTGCCAGGCGGCCCTTCCCTCCACGCTTGTTTTGTCAAACAGGGGCCTCCGGGGGTCGCGGGGGTCCCTACCTGTAGGCCAAAGTCATGCACTCGAAGAGCTTGGTGAGCGAGGCGTCGATGGACAGGTGGCAGGAGCTGGTCTTGCCGAAGCTGTAGGTCTGGCACGTCTGTTTGTTGACCGTGTCGAAATCGTAGCCCTTCTTGGGCGGGTGCTCCCGGTGCGGCGACGACACCATGAAGTGGCCGCTGTGGATGATCTGCTGGCGGCGCGGAGGCTCCTCGCGGCCCGGCCCG